CTTTGAGGGGACCACACACGCCTACCGTACTGTGTTCGTATACTCCGTATTGCAATACCGCTCACATAATCAGCCCTGGCGTATAAACATTGACATGAGCGATAAAGCCACGAAACTCGGCCAGTCTCGAGGGAAATTCCAGCTTCTTGCGACCTTAGACTTAATCAGAAAATATATTGAAGGTACCACCAATGTAAAAGTATTTCTTTCATCAGGTAAAACTTGCCTAACGATTTTTTTGCCTTTTTGACGCAGAGCCGATGTTTGAAAAGGATGAAATTCAGGTGGGATTGGTTTAAAGATTGGTCTTCTGATAAGTTTTTGATTTATGTGCGTAATATTTTGGTGTTGAGGTTATGATAACATAATGAGGTAAATACTAACTAACATTCCTCCTAAGACTAAGAGAACTCTTAAATATAAACATTACGTATTTATCTAAAAATGTTAACAATCTAGTGTACCCAAATGTAGTACAAAATGATAGAAATGTAAAATCCTGTTCTGTATAAGTATACGAGACAGTCCATTACGAAGTGATGGAGTACAATATTTAATTTACTAGAATCAAACCATCCCACATCACTGCGGGCCGCAATTCGCCACGTTTCCTTAAACTTCTGACAGCCATATAAAAGAAAAGAACGAACAATACATCAAAATTTATTCTAATCCATCAGATCGCTCGGAGTATATTAAGGGTGGGTAATTTGTTCTGATAAAAAAATACGGAAAAATTCCCGAGATCCGCGAGGTCAGACAGCAATCAGTTATTATAATCCGCCCCATTGCCAAATCTTCGTATAAAAGGAATGCAGTAATAACACTCCGTTGACTTCAAAGTATAATACATTTCATCTCACAATAGGAATTCTTTTTTTGTGGAATAATGAATCCGTGATCTTTATAAAACGTTGGCAAATGAAGGTGCTTTTCTTTATGTAATTGTAGATTATCCAACAAAGAGATAAAACAGAGTCTTATATCACGGATGTCATATTGAATCAAGTGCTTTACGGATTAGGTTAAATATTGTAGAAAGGTTTACAGTACAGTATGTGAATATATGTAGTCTTAAATAAAGAGCTAAACTTATTTAATTCAACTAATGTAGCAATGTGACCAGATATATATATAAGTATTAATTAATGCGTGTGAATATTGACATTTAGTCGACTCTCGGTAAAACTGTTAGACTACTTTTATCGACATATCGTTAGTCCATATCGGAATGAGACTAATAAATAACTGCGGCTACTTTTCAACAGCATATAAAAATGTATATCTCACATCCCTCCGAGAAACAACAAAGGTAATGTTATGAGTTTTTGCCAATTTCCAATGCGATTCAGCACACCAATTTTCATCGAACGTGGAAATGCTTTTTACTCCATATTCACCTACCTTCAAATGGCACTCTGGACTCCCATAATATTAAATTTAAAAACGCTGGGCTTAGAGGCGTAGCCCAAAGTGTAATCGAAACATAAATCTCTTTAATTTGCTTTGAATTTTCCTCCAGCTTGTTATAAACGATGGATCTTTAAATTTCCAGACAAATTGCGGCAGACATTATGCTGATTTTTAGATGACACTTAATTTATCTAAGTTATGCATTTTGTTACCAAAGACCTAAGTAGAGCAGTTACTTAAGTTTAAACGTAAAAATACAAAATCCTTGACCTTCTACCGACACTGAATGAGGAAACTTTTTTTAGTCTGTGTCATAAATATTTTTTTCAGCCTCCAAAAATACTTCTTTGTGAGTAAAAATACGTACCTACTCAACCTTTCATATAAGTAATTCTTCACAAAGTATAGGTACTGAAAATAGGTGGCCGTGGGTGGGTAACTGGGTACTCAGTAAGTGGATAGGATAGGATCCATTACGTAAACAGGCCTCAAAGTTTCCATGGTTGAAGAGTCCTTATAGTTTAGGAGTTAAGCTGATCGATTCGCTATTAGGCTCCGATACTCACTTGGGACCTGATGAACAACCGACGCCACTCTTAATTAGGGATATGATCCGCAAGAAAGTAATTTCCTCGAGATAATCTTTCCGAACGATATACAGACTGAAACCACGAATGTAATAACAAACTAGAAGAACCGTGTAATGTGATTAGAGCGCTCTCCACTGAGTTATGATTTTTGTGGCGCCAGCGTATTGAAGTGAATCGCAATCGAATAGATAAACCCTTTCTAGTTCAAGTAATCAATGATCTGATTGCATTAGTTGTATGAAATACTCATTTTTAACTGACTAAGCACCCATAAAGGAGGAGGTTCTGAATTCGGCCAGTATTTTTCTTTTTTTACATAAATTGTTATGAGAACTGTAAGATGTTTTCCAATAAGTGAATATTCCCTCGTGTATTCCATGAGAATGATAAATTTGTTCACATGATCATCTTGCTATCTATTGACCAAAGAGGTACTGTCATTCTAATTAAATATTTACTTAACAATGCAAAAGCATTTTAACAACTTGCTGGCTATACGTTAATTGCTGGTAGCGCCATCTACCCAACCATGGCAATACTAATGTTATAAATATAAAAGTTTTTATGTTTGGATGTTTGTCCGACAATCACGTTGAAAGTACTAAATAGAATTTGATGAAATTTGGTATATAGGCAGGGTATGCAGGTGACTCAGATGATAGGATACTTTTTATCCCGATTAAATGCTCCCATGGGATAAAACAGGAATCATAATCATATTCTTTCTACCACAAGCATACTCCTGCTTAACAGGTTTTTCCTAATATTTTGTTGGATAATAGTTGATGAAATTAATTATTTTTATTTTTATTTCATTTTTTATATTCTACGCGGACAAATTCGCGGGAAACAGCAAGTATTCCATAATAAAATTTTTACTTCGTGTGAAACACCATGCACAATATTTCAAGAATCATATTAAAATTTTATTGGGCCAAATTAAAAAAAATCATGAGAAAAAATTATGCAACATTCCTAGCTGTAGACAACCCGCTCTATTTGTTACAAGGTCAAATGAAAATAACATTTAAGTCTTGAAATATTCGAGTCATATTCGTGTAAGAAAAGGAAGGTAAATTTATTCTACGATAGAGAATGTCCATTTATCACCGTATTAATCGTTGGGTACCTAGTCTCACACGTAGCGGCTATAAATCCCGCTGGTTATTGTACCTACGTCCTTATTAAGCTTTAATGCAAACTTATATATACCTACTAGCTTCTGCAAGCGGCTCCGCCCGCATCCCCGTGGGAAAAAAGTAGCCTATGTTTTATTCCAAACCATAATCTACCCCTGTTCCGAATTTCGTCACGATTTCTTCAGCCATTTTGACGTAATTTAATAAGAAACATATAAATAAACTTTCTGATTTATAATCCGCAACCCCGTGAGAAAAAAGTAGCCTATGTTTTATTCCAAACCATAATCTATCCCTGTTCCGAATTTCGTCCCGATCTGTTCAGCCGTTTTGACGTAATTTAATAAGAAACATATAAATAAACTTTCTGATTTATAATATTAGTAAGATATTCCATTGTAATGGTATAGTATTCATGTAGACGTATAGACTTGATTTTGAAAAATTAATATCTAGTAGACCTATTTTGAATCTCATTTAATAGGTCATATTTACATCAGTTATAATATTATAATACTTAGTCTAAGTACCCATTTAATAATTTAGTATATTTAACACTAGAAAGAAAATTATTAATCGCTCACTGGTAAAGCTCACAGTTAGGTATTAAACATAGTATTTACAATTAAGTTTTTCAAGTGTATATGTAAAGTTTATGCACATTCTTTCATAATTTTAATTAATTACAACAACAAAAATTAATTCAAAAATAAGTAGAGGGGAACTGATGGGTATGTGATAATTCAAATTTTAATGCTGGCCGGTTACAAAACGTTATGAAATACGTTCGAAATTTAAAAGCAACGTCGCCATTTGCATTAGTTCATACGAGAATACCATTCACTCACAAAATTGTATTAAAGCTGACTATAACAAAAATTCAACGAAAACAAACAGCGGGAGCCATTACGATATTGTTTCACCCTACTACCTCACAAGTGAGGAATTGTTTTGTTCACTTACTTGGTTTATAGACGAATAATAGGATTACTTTTCACTCAAGCTAACTAATAATAATATTAATTGATACCTCTCTTGTAGTTTATTATGCCAGTCAATTGATAAATACGTTTTGTTTTTTTTAAATGTCTCGCACACAAATTCCCATAATAAATATTCAAAAGTATATGAGGAACGTACTAAAAAATAATTGAAATTCTTCGACGGCCGATTGTAGAACAATCCGACGCATACTAAAATGGGCTGGCGCATACAAAAAGTATGGAGTGAGTTTCATTCGACGTTAATGCTATTTTCCATAAAATTGAGCACTACATCAAAGTCATGTACAGTTTGATACATTATGTACCTACACATGTACCGCTCAGGCTCACGTAACGTGTGAATTATTATCGCATATTTTACGCTACAACTAAATTTTAAATTGAAGCATTTGCTTTAGTAAAAAGTACGAAACAACTGGACATAATTTTCTTTGAATCAAATAAAGTACAAAACTATTATTTTACATAATCTTGGCGATAATAAATATCTAGACTAGACTGGGTCGTTATTTAAGAATTCTAAAAGCTTTTAAATTTATTTATTCTGAATGAAATCAAATAATAAATTATTTTAGCATGTCAAATAAAATTAAGTAATACATAAAATGTTCGCTGTGTTTGAAATTTCCAATGTCCGTAAAATACCGAATAACTTGCATTGTCTCGGTCACCCTTTTTACATACCTGCGTTCTCTGGTAATACCCAATAAATTCCTCACATTGTTTTACGTACACTAAATGGTAATTCTTTACACATTGTATGCTTTATCATTTTATTATACAATTTTAAACTTACCTTTAAATCTCTTATGAAGGAACACAATATTAATTTTGCCATTCTTCTCTTGTTTCAGATGAAAACCATTATTTCTTTTCACCGGTAGAAAAAAGTTTTGCTCAAGTTCAACCGCCTTTATTTCCAAATGCTCGCCCATCATCAGCATTCTTCGATCATGGGGACAACTACAGGGTTGCGCCGACCGTGCAGCAGCCACTCTACAACGAGGGCCAGTCAAGATTCCCCAGCCCTAACTACAACCAAAACCCGTCACCTTTTCAATTACCGACGGGCAGGAGTCAATCCGGAACCCAGTATTATGTAAACCAACCCGAATTTACTGCACAACGACAAAGGTTCAGGCCAGCTTTACCATACAACTTCCAAATGGTTACGCAACACCCAGCTTCTACCAATAGGCCCGATGTGTCACAAATACACTCCGTAGCGTATCAAAATGACCCGTCTAAACCAGAAACCTTTTTGGGCCAAATCACTTTAAATAATCCTGATATTGACTACTTACAAAATAATAGATTTAAGACACTGCCATTTGACGGTAACAGCTTGAAAAGTAACGGACAAAGCGGTCACATTGCACACGATGAAGATATTGAAAATGATAATCAAGACTTATTTGAACATCACAGGGTGACCACTTATAATCCTCATAAACTCGCAATGAAACAAAGACTGAATAATAAGCCTAACACTCCACGGTTCACTCAATTAGATTCACCATCTATCAATGGCAATACAAAAGTTCAAAATACCCCAAGCAATACTTTTAATAAGAAAAATCAATTAAATGTGCCAAAATCAAATGCCAACATATATCATAGTTCTTCCACTGAATACAAGGGACTCCTAGACATAGAACCTTTACTCGAAGATGATATAAGCGATTTAAGTTCGTTTAGAGAGCTCATGAAGAATACTCAAGGTTCTTTTGATGTAGAAGTCATTAAATCCAATCAAACTGGATCTGAATCAACAGACGATAGCAAACCTGACGCTAGCTCTATGAATGCTGATAACTATCCAAAGCAAGAACCAGTTAAACCAACCACTACTACCACTTCCACTACTACGTCTACGACAACAACCACGAGCAGTGAACATTCAGATGAAGATCATGATAGTGTCGATGGAGAAGATGAGGGAGAGTACGTGGAGTATTATGATGACGATGAAAGTTCTGAGGTGAAACATACTACACAAGAACCACACCGATCCTCATCAACAGAACAGGCTACAGATAATTATGACGACGAATACGATACGACTGAAGAACCCGAAAAGTCTACAGAGGTTGCAAAACAAAATTCAACGGAATCGTTTGATGTTTTGGTAATGAAACCTGAAAAAACTATGGTTAAGGATGACAATTTCAAACATTTTGTGGACACACCAGTAATTGATCAAACAGAACACAAACATTCTGAAGAAAAGGGAACTCTTATTAGTTCTGCACCAACCGCCGAAGAAGATGTAACATCTATTGAAACACCATCGATATTGGGACAGGAAGTTGTGTCAGTCGTAACTACCAAGAGTGTAGTAAATGGTACAATATCAATTCCAGACGTCACATATCCTCCAAGTACCACTAAACTTAGTTCATCTTCGGAAGGCACTTCACCAACTAGTAACCAAATGAATGATGCATCTGTGCCAGTGACCACTGAGAATTGGATTGTAGTCGCTTCAGTTCAAACAAGTAGAAGTGTCTCAGGCGCTCGATTCTTACCATTCCCTACTGTAGAACAGGAAGAGAAGAAGCAAGTTTTAGCTGATGACAATGAAGAAGAAGAAGATGATGAAGAATCCGTGACCAAAGATCCAAGAGAAGAAACCAGTGGACTTATAAATCATTCGTCGTCAACAGAAAATATTAACGACAAGTTAGATAGTATTCAGTCTGAACTATCAAGTGCAGTTTTATCGGGTTCTTTAAATAACGAAAATAAAAATATTGAATTGATAACTGAATCAACTACTGAAAGTACGACCACTACAACAACAACGACCACAACGACGACAACAATTCCACCACCAATAAAAGTATTTACATTGAAGAGTACTACAGTTGCTTCTGTGACAGAAAGATCGTCTCCAGAGCCATTACCTGTACAAATTAAGAAATTCGCTCATCGTGTAACGACATCTACAACACCTAAGCCTAAGAAAAAGCCTTCGTTAGTAACTGTAATGGATGACATTGCTGGACTTTTACCAGCTGGTTACAAATCTAGGTTATCATATAAAGATAAACGAACCAGTACGACCACGACAACAACCACTACTACAACTACTAGTGCACCAGAAGTATCTAGTGAGATCCCTATAATTAATGGCACACAGGGTCGATCATCTGGTATAAGTTCAAAGAACAAGGTTATTGTATTAGATTATAAATCTTTACTTCCTAAAGAATATAAGCCTAAAGAAAACAAACCCCAAGAAGATCTTGTTAAAAAACTACAGAAAGATGACCTAAGTAAATTATTACCAGCTAACTATAAGCCGTCAAGTACAGAAACGCCTGATATTAAATCAATTACTAAATCTATCTTTGATAAAGTTGAAGAAGTTGATATTTCAGCGTTCTTACCTAAAGGTTTCAAACCAAATGCTACAACTACTGAAAAGCCCAAACTACCAATCAATGCTATTCCAGTAGACGTTTCAGCTTTACTGCCACCTGGTTTCAAACTGAACGACACTGACAAAGAAAATGGAGGAAGTTCTCTGGTCAATATCAAAGTTGCAGATATTTCCAACTTATTACCACCTGGATTTAAATTGAATGAAACCGAAGAGGAAGCGTCTCCACCCAGTAGTACAACTAAAGCACCTGGAGGTATAAAACTTGTATTCCCCTCCAGACCAGGTGGTAAAGTAAACAGGAAAACAACTACTCCTAAACCACTGGGCCCTGTTCCAGTCACACCTAAAATACAAAAGGGTTGGCCCACAAGGTACTTACGTTTATTCTATTTACCTTTGTATAGCTTGTCATAAGTAGTCAGTTGAGTACTTTGTCTAACGATGTAATCATTTTCAGAGCTTCAACTGAATTTACTGGTTGGCCATCACCGTCTACTACGCCATTTTCTATTGAGAAGCTTCTAGAAGCTCAAAGGAATGCTACTGCTACTAGTCCTCTGCCTGAATTTAGTACCGAAGCAACGACTCGACGCACGACGACTACGACTACAACGACGCCTGTACCTCCTCCTCCGACCACTCCCGGATTGTGCAAGAGAGAGTGTGACATTGCTGCTACCATAAAAATAGTATCAGGTATTTCTATGCATGTTTTGTCTATTTTGTTTTTGTGTCATCCTATTTTTATTATATTTACAAAAGAATGAAAAAGGTCTTGTTGATTCTAACCACGTGTTTTAATTTCAGGAGTAAAATGGATACCTGAATTATTAGATCACAATACAGAAGAATGGCAACGGCTTGCAAAGGATGTCAAGGAAGAGGTAAATTAAACTTACTGTTATATCGTATAACTTTTATTTACTTTTGTTATACAAACATTCGATTTAAATTTTCTTTAAATTTCACAGTTGAACTCTGTCTATTCAAAATCGGACTATCTGCGCAAATGGTACAAGGATATAAGAATCGATGGGTTCAGTGAAGGCTCTGTTCTTGTTGACTACTTTATTGAACTCAAAGAAGTAGAAGAAAGAGTGGACACGTTAGATCTGAAGAAAATGTTCCACAAATCTCTACATGAAGCGAAGCCCGGTTCCGTAGTCGAAACTATTACAGAAGAACCGAAAGATGAGTTTGATCCTGATGTTATGTTAGGAGACCAACCTGATGAAGAAAGAATGAAGAAAAGCAATGAGAAAATGACCAAAACAATTGACAAATCTGCTGGAAAGTTAGAAATTGGAAAGTTTGTAATGGACCCTGCATACACTGAGTTCATAGGTCAGTATTTTTCTGAAAAATCCTTTAAAATGAAACTTTAATGTAATAAACTTTAAACTATTATCTTGTTTTATAGTGTTGCCTAAACGTGAAGAGCCAACAGCTATTGCTCCCGAAGAAGAATCATTCTTGCCTCAGTGGGGTATCGCTGTGATTGTCATTGCGCTAGCATCTCTCCTGTTCGTCGTAATATTTGGAGTTACAGTAGTAAGTTATCCTAACTTAATATTTAAAGACAAATTAATCTTATATGGAAACATGATACTAATTAATGTATTTTCACAGTTGGTTAACCGACAAAAGAGTGCCAAGGCCAAACAGCCAATACCACTTAGCGAAGAAATGCTTCGGGATTTGGATAAGAGTCACATGGGAGGTTTTGATGACGTGCATCAACTCAAAGAACGTGAACTGCCGTATCTTCCTTCGGGCAAGGTAACCCAATCGATTTTTCTATTAAATTTAATATAGTAATTTAAGCATTTCTGACACCTTATTTTTGTTTGTCTAGCGTATGTCAACTGCCTTCATCGAGCAGCTGGCTTACCCTAACCCGGGTGACTCGTGGCGGTCAGAGTGGACGCCGCAGCTCCAGAAGTACATGCAGCATTACACACCGGACTCCGGGCGAGGATCGCAGATCTATGGCCCTGCCGGAAATAATTATGGGTATGAACTATAACTTCCTTAAAATTTTCTCGTTTGAAAAACAATTTATTATATACGCGATTATCTAACACTAACATACGGGTTAGTCTACAGGGTATTGTCCAATTCAGCAGAATGCTTGTATCGTTCAACTTTCTACAAAATACACCAGAGACGACCAAAGCTTACTTTTCCCACAAACTTTTACCGCAGCGGAACCCTGCCTTACATGTTTCATGGAAAACCGCTGCTGCTTGTTTCATGGCAAAAGTTTAGCAGGCAGGCCAGGGTCGGTCGGTCGGACAAGTTTTAAATACAGGAACATATTATGTATGTTAATAGATGTGTGTTCTGTCGACAGATACGGCGGTGGTTCGCAGCTGTACGGGCAAACAGGCGGCGGGTCCCAAGTGTACGGTTACACGGGCGAGTACCCGCGCTCGCACTACTCGCGGCGCCGCTCTGACTACGACAGCAACTTCTAGACCCTTCTAGAAATATATTCGCCTACTGAGACTTGACACAATCTTGACAATATCTCCTTTTAATCTCGAACTCTAATTTATAATACTCGAATAGAACGTTTCATCCATTCTGTGTAGAATAGTCATTAACTTCCAAATACATACTGTAACAGGTTGTGAAATAATTTTATCATTATAAAACCGAACATTATTAGGTCGAAATTAGGTTCGTATTTCTGAATTTATACGATACGACTTTACATTTTGCATTATATTTTAGCAGCTTTTAGTCCGGCCTATTTAGGACTTAACAGTGCCAACCCAGATGGTTATGTCGCGTTTGATATTTATTTTGTAAACAACAATATTTCTGTAATTTTAAATAGTTATTAAATGGAAATTATCTGCCAAAATATTAACTATTTACGACTGATTGTGAGATGTAAATAAGTAGAATAAGAACTCACCAATATTATAAGAGGAGACTAATAGGTGAGGCTACGAAGTACTTGTGTAGATATCTCTCCGCATACCTATATTTGCTCAGAACCTGTAGTGGATCGTGCCGTGGCCCGTGTGTGAGCGTGAAACGCCTCTTTGTGCCAAATGTTTGTGCGTCTGTGTGTGCGTGTAAATATAAACATAATATTCCTTTCGTATAGAGACATTAACGTATAGTGGCTATAGATGTCGGACCACCAGAGTACCGCGCCCGCCATTACCGCGGCCCGCGACCCGCGAGTGCTTGGTTGCGAACTATTTACGCGGAATGCGGTGTGTTCCCATTTTATGAATAAATCATATTTATTCAATAATTTAACTCATACTCAGTGTCATTCGAAACGCATTAGGATAACGATCTTCATGTATGAAATTCATAATGTTAAGAATTGTAATTGATGATCGTCAATTTTTAATTATTGCATATATCGTCAACCAGGTTCACAAAGACGTTAAATTGTAATTTAATTATAATTAGCGATTAGCTACCTTAAAATAAATAACAACCCTAATTAGTGTGGAAGTTTTAAAAACTTGGGTTTACTTGAATGTGTCAAAATGATGAATTTCGTCAGATGTATTAATTATTACCTAATCGTATTTGTAAATTCCTCGAGTAACGAGCGTCACGGTCATTATGTACCTACCAATTAGACTAAGTATAGAAATTGCATGAATTCGTGTATATAAACAATTTTTGTACATGTAGATTTTAATTTAATTATTGACTAGTTAGTGACAAAGTAAACGTATTAAGATCCTGAATATAGATAAATATATAATGTAACTGTTGTTTTATTTTTACTCGTTCAGCAGAATTTCGCGCGCCTACAAGCGACATCTACAACAAATATTTATTGTTGAAACCTTCAATTAAAAATTGAGTCCCTTTTAATCCTAATTCTATTAGACACTATACCGCTTTAGCTATAGGCGCAACCCTTAATTGAAATGATTCCTCATCCCCAAAAAGCCGGTAACGCACTTGTAACGCCTCTGGTCTTTCAGGTGTGCATGGGCGGCGCCGATTGCTCACCATCAGGTGATACGTCTACTCGTTTATCGGCTTATCCCATAAAAAAATACTTACATATTATTGGTGAACATAAAAAACATTACTTTTGTTATGTCTTTAGAAGTTAAATTCAAATCAGCTACTAATATTTTAATATGTAACCAAACCGAGCATGGTTAAATATATTACCTGATATTATAACAAACAATTAATGTTTAATGGCCCATTATTACGAAGCGCTAATTGGGAAATTTTGTAAACTATTCCCAGTAACAAAAACCATATGGCAGTAAATCTCAATATAATATTAAATCAGGATTTTCAATAATGGTGATAGGTAATGGGTTTTTTGAAATCTCAATAGTAGCACGGAGCCTGGAATTATGCCTGGTATATGGCAGTACGCTCACCCCTTATTTCATGGGACTCATAACATAAATAGTGAAAAGTGAATGTTACATTGTATAGTGGTATTAAGTGCCGTAATGTGGATATATAATAACCTACTAAAAAAAACGCGTGATGTTATGTTATGTATGTGATAATAGGTACCTAGTCTAGTTTCATATATTTGTATTTTAAATCATTAAAAATCAATAGAAAGAAGCCCCATTATCTCGTCTATAATTTTTATAGTCTTTGAAACATAAAGTCGGTATCATCTATGTCTGTTCGTGGTAACTAAGCGAATAATACAATTTTCTTTACTGGATATAGTGATCTTTGAATAAAGTTTTAGGATATAATTTTGAAAGATTATGATGAATGTTGAAGCTGTCATAAGTTATTTATGGGATAAGCCGGTAAATGGTCAGACGGATAACTTGATGGTAAGCAATCAGCGCTGCCCATGAACATTCGAAACACCAGAGTCGTTACAAGTACGTTACCAGCCTTTTGTAGATTACGAATTTGAGGATTGGGGATTTGGTGATTGGGGAGATTGGAGAGGGGGTAATTGAGCCTCCAGTGAGTCTATAAACACATTATTGCTCTACTTTAAGTCATAAAATAAAGCTATAAACACGAATATATACGTATTTTACTATGTTCTACTCATATTTCGTCCATAACCATATTATGTGCAATGGCAGAGAGAACGACCCTTCGATTCCCATGGGAGAGGTAATGTCGGTACCGTAGATCCTCGTTAAACTAAATTTGGCATGGTAATGTCATGGAAAAATTAACTGACATCGATAAGCAATAGGGAATAGCTATGGCAGACGGTAAAGAGGCTTTGGAATTGCCTTTTATCGGCCACCGTTTGGTTAAAGTAATGTTTTTTAGCTGGTAGATAACGTTACGCATATAAAAGCTGAAAAAGTAGGTAGTTCCCAAGTCTTAGGTTTTGCTTTAAAGTTGTAGCATATAAAACCGTTTTTAATGGTTGACTATATGCATATCTACATATAACGATTATAAAAAACATATACCTATGTAAGTGTAGATCAAAATAAATATAAAATGTTCACCCATTTTGCGACTGCACGGTTGGTGCGGTGGCTGGACAACCGGCTGCCGTGCAACGTGTCGCGGGTTTGATTCCCACACGGAACAACTCTTTGTGTGATCCACAAATTGTTGTTTCGGGTCTGGGTGTCATTGTGTATGTGAACTTGTATGTTTGTAAACGCACCCACGACACAGGAGAAAATCCGATTGTGGGGTAACGTTTAAAAAAAATTTAAATATCTACTACCAGTACCGTATAATGTTTTTGCCTTACTTTACACAAAGCGCCCTAAAATATGAACCAAAAGCGATTGAAATCTGGAGATAAGTCTTGATACATAGGCGTAAGTATGTCGACGGATTATATATTTAAAATTCCATGAATATTAAAACGTTTCGCATGAAAGCTGCAACGCGCCCTCTAAGTCTCAACTCCACATAATCTTCATTAGGGGACGGGGCATAATATCTTACGCACACAGCTTTATATAAGAAGGTACTTACACATCCATACTGACATAATAAACGAGTAAGCATCGCTTCTGTCTGTAAACGAATGCACTGATTCAATTGAAATCTGGAATAAAATAATTTGTAGGTCTGAAACAGTCAAGAATGTTGACCATGGTTGACTGTTAGAGAGTGCATGTTATATATATACTATATACAGAAGTTTAAATGAGTTTTTTTTATGACCTAAGCCGGTAAACGAGCAAACGGATCACCTGCTGGTAAGCAATCGGCGTCGCCCATGAACACCTGGAACACCAGAGGCGTTACAAGTACGTTACCGGCCTTTTGGGGATTAGGAGTTTGAGGATCGTTGGGGATTCAGGAATTGGGGAGATTAGGGAACGGGAGGTTAATTGGACCTCCGGTAACCTCACTCACATGACGAAACACAATGCAAGCGTTGCTTCACGTCGGTTTTCTGTGAGGCCGTGATATCACTTCGGTCGAGCCGGCCCATTCGTGCCGAAGCATGGCTCTCCCACACTTAAAGTGTCCGACACTTGAGTAAATAATTAAAATAAATGCTAGTTTTAATATAACCTAATAAACTGTTTGTTATTTCCTTTTTCTGTATGTACTATATTATTAATGATATACAATAAAGATTATTCTATTATATTCTAAGATAACCGGAAAGAGCTGCCTTAGGGGGGCGAAGAAAAAACTAGAAACGAATTACACAAAAGAAAAATCTTTCAGATACAGAACGTTCCATTTTAATTACATAACATTTTTTTAAGATTAAAAATGAACAATCTTTTGACACTTCAGAATTGATAAAGACGTTACATACTTATTCTACGCAGATGAAGTCGCAAAGCTTAGTAGCTATACATATGAAATCTATCTGTACTTTCACTTGAAGAGAGGGTGCAAACCAACCCTTGCGAAATAACAAACGTATTGTATATTAATTAATCTCCCCTGGCCTCTTACCAAGTCGCTGACATCGGCACTAAGCACTTAATACCCATGTTTGTCTTACAAATGTATAGGTCAGGTACATCCTCCCTTGAGCGTAATCATGATTAGCTTCACTTTTTGGATGAAATAAATTTGTCATTTTCAGTACAGAGTGCATTAATTCATAGAAAAAATTAGAATATTGGGTATTGAGTTATGCCCCTTACAAAATATATGTTGCTACTTATCATTTTCGTCAATTAAAAAGTTACGAATAAACTATAAAATTACTCAAATATGTGACAAGCAATACGCAAACGACTTTGAAATCTAATATAAACATGACCAAACAGACGGGCTTACAAATAAGAAATAAATAAAAAAAATTGACACAAAAATAAGACTTTAAAAACACCATTAAAGTAAAACCGCTGTGTGAAGGCTATTGCAATTGAATTGTAGCAAAAAATATATCTGTGAAATATTATTGCCATTCGGTTTGATGTTTCTGCAATGCGTTAAAGTAATCCGCTGCAGGCTCTCTTGTATTTTATTTTCACTGTATTTCACTGGCTCTGTATAAATAAATCAGACTATGTTATGTTACAAAAAAGAATTTATTTTATATAAAAGC